ATTTGTGGTAGATGTCTATGAACAGTTCCATGGGATGAATTTAAACGTTCCGCAATTTCATCAACTGTTAAAGATGGTTCTGCTTCAACTAGTGCAGAGAGAGCATCATCATTAAAGTCAACAGGTCTTCCAGTACGAGCCTTATCCTCCACACTAAAATCATTATTTCTAAATCTTTCAAACCACTTCTGTGCAATCCTTACACTAATTACAGTTTGATTATGAACAGTATTTAATTTTTTGGCTGCATTTGTAGCATTCTCACCACTTAAAAATAAAAAGTATAAAACATGTCTCTTATATTCATCTGTTACTTCCATTTTAACGAAACTAAACAACTGAAATGTTCCCAATTCTGAACAGTATTATATGAATGAGATCCAATTTAACACTTCAGTGTAAAAGGTATCACATTATACTGGCATTTTTAACAGCAAAACAAGATTTTTCTCAAGATCATAAAATAGGCAGAACTTATGGACTGACCTGATATATATGAAATGCACAAAAATTTAGTTAAGTTTACTATAATGTTTTGTATTTGCTTAGTCTAAGTACAGAAAATTTTTGAAAGATGCATTTATAAAATTTTAATTAAATTTTTAGGGAAAAAGCTTTACATGTTTCAGGAAATCAAATCGAACCTGCAATGGAATGGTAAGATATTTATTAGGAAAAATTTTTTGAGCAATCATTTAAACTGCTATTAATTTATTACTGTAAAAAATTATACAATAATATATTTTTATAGGTTGTTAGCTCATAGCGATGACCCAGAAATTGACGCACCTCTTGAAACAGAAGGACAGAATAAAGAGGAGACAGGTAATTTTGATGTCATATAGTTTTAATATTCCGCTACTCGTAGTTAATACTTATGCAAGTGTTCTAAGTTATATCATTTGGTTTTTGTCTATATCTAATATATTTTATTCATAAAATTTAAGTGAATGGATAGAGATAGTGTAAATAGTGTTTTTTCCATTGTAGAAAAGAGTTTTTATAGTAGAAAACATACTACAGTTAAGTTGCAAAAAATTTTCTAAAATTTATTCAACTATTTATGAAAAACCTATTTTTATTTATTTATTTCAGAAACACTTGCTTGTTATTATTTATATAACTTAAGCATACAGATTCTCATTATCCAGGATAAATGTGTTTACACAGTAAATTTCTAGTATCTGTTTTAATTTTTTTCTTTTTCTTTTTGTTTTTCAGTTAGTGGTTTCCTCTCTATGAAATAAATCTTTTTTATAATTTAAAACTCAGAATACATATATATTCTGAGTTTTAAATTATAAAAAAAGATTTATTTCATAAGTTACTTAACTTATGAAATAAATTTTGAAATAATTAAATAATTGCAACACAAAAACTTTACGAAATGAAAACAAAAAAACTAGAAGGTTGAAAAGTGTCTGAATAAAAATACAAATTCAAAATGTACAGAAGTAATACAAATTTAAATCTGGAATACTTACTTTAATGCACTAAATATAAATGTAAGTAAAAAAAAAATTATGTAAAAAATTTTGTTAATACTTATGTGACAATTATCATTTACTGTTATAAATAACTGCTTGAAATGAAAGTGCATTTACCTGAAAATTGATGAATTTTTGGCAAGTTATTTTATAAAGATTATATAGACTTCTGGACAAAATTCATTTAAACAAAAAATATTGAGAAAATCAGGTTTATATTATAGAATACAGTATGTAATGTAGTTTATATAGAATATTTCAGGATATAGGTGTAATATGATATTTAGGATTCGAGTTTTTTCTTTAAATTAAAATGCTATAAAAGTTCATTTATATTTTCCTAATAAATTAAATTTTAATATATTAATTTGCTAAAAGTAGAAGTTTTCAATTAAATGAAGTTATTATTAATTTATCACACCTAATATTAACAATAAGTAATATTGTATAAAATTACAATGATAAAAACAGTTCTTCACTAACATTTTCGAACCATAAACAGTTCTTCTTCAGCTGAAGGTGAATTTCCAATAGAATGCAATTAAATAAGAACACGATTTGAAATCAAATATGTGTTTCTTGATGACATCCCACTGAGCATGTGCACTCTAGCTGGTAGCAATTGATGAGATTTACAGGTCTTTGTCCATTAGCACATGTAAATAACTTCACTCCAGTGTTGGTTAGTGTTGATTTGCATTCTATAAAAAAATTATTTTCACTAATAAAGAATTTTTTAAACTGTTTAAACTGTTTTTGATAGTTGCATTTATTAGAGACTATCTATTATTAGTAGTAGTAATTAGAAAGTGGGAATTTTTAACTGTTTCTGCCAAATATTTGTATTGCAGTACAGTATTTATTATTTTATCATTATCATAAATTAAATTTGCCTATTTTTTTATTTTGTTGTTTATTTTAATTTTTTGATATCATGTTTTATAAAGTTAGTCAAATTAATTATATAGTAGTGCTTCTTAGTGGCTTAGAAAGTGCATAGTAGGAATGTTAATTATTTTAAACTAAAATTTCTATTTGTGAATATTATTTCAACTTGGATTTTATCATGATTGGTGACAATTTTTCTTGCTTACTTAATAGGCTGATATTCTCAATTTATTTAGTTTATATTTTTGTTTAATATAGGCACCTTATTTTATTTTAAATAAACTTTACTTTTATAGCTGTATTATGCTTGTTGAAACTTCTAATGAATTGAAACAGTCAGTCAGATGGCTGAGTGGTTAAGCTGTCAGATTACTTGTGAGGGACCTGGGAATGAATTAGAATGAGTCAAGAAACACCAGCAATTTTTTAGAGGGTGGTCCATCCCAGATATGTTGGGTTTGGCCCCCATCCTTCCCCACCTAGCCACCCTAGTTTGGGTTTGGCTGAACTCATGATAAAAAAAAACCCTCTTTCCTTGATAAAAAGGTCTTCTTAGTGCATGTAGGACAGAAAGAGTAAAAAAAAGAACAGAAATAGCTGTGTTTGTTTTGTAAGTATAGTAAAATATGAGGGTCATTCAAATTAAACATGACCAATGACTTTATTTAGTAGGTACAGTACATTACATCAAAACTAATCCCCCCTGATGAGTAAAGCACTTGTCCCAATGTGACACAAGATGTTTGATTCCTTGTTCATAGAATTTGGTGGGTTGATGTCTGCACCATTCCCGAACTGCGTCTTACATTTCAGCATTCAATTGAAACTTATGCCCTTTCAGATTCTTCTTAAGCTCCCTGAAAATGTGGAAATTGCACGGAGACAAGTCAGGACTGTATGTAGGATGCTGGAGTGTTTTCCACTTGAATTTCACAAGGGATTCCTGCACGATGTGTGCGGTGTGAGGGCAGGCATTGTCATGAAGAAGGAAGACACCTTGTGAAAGCAGACCTGGCCACTTGGACTTGATGAAAGCTTGCAGAGATTTTAAAGTTTCTATGTACTAAGCAGCATTTATGGTGGTTCCACAGGCAGTAACCTTCATCAGCAATGGGCCTTTGCTGTCAAAGAAGAATGTCAACATCACGTTTTTTGTTGTTTGCATTCCCTTTGATTTCTTAGGCAGTGGAGACAACATGTACTTTCATTGGTGCTCTGTCTTTTGCTTTCCAGCTGGAAATGAAAGCACCATGTTTCATTTCCTGTAACAATTCTCTCTATGAAATGATTATCTTCATTGCAGTACCACAGCAAATGTTCCAATGACAGATCCGTGCAAAGGTCTTTTTGCACAGATGTTAAGTTGTGCGGCACCCACTGGGCACAGATTTTTCTGTACTACAGATGCTCACAAATAATGGTATTTACCACTACCGATGCGTATTCCAACCTCGGTCACCAGTGCTTTCACAGTGATCTGTCTATTGTCCAAAATGAGTCTGTCCACTTCCACTTTTGTAACCTTGTTGATCACATGATGTGCTTGCCCTGGCCTGGCATCATCAAGTAGTGATGACTGACCATCTCAGAAGCGCTCACTCCAGTCTTTCATCGTTGTCAAACCCATACAGTTTCCATACACATTGCTCATGCGTGCAATGCATGCCATGGGGTTTGACACCTTCTGCAGTTAAAAAACACACTACTGCTCGCTGCTCAGTTGTTGATACATCCATACTTGAAGTTGGACAGAGTATCTGCTTGATGTGCTAAACAAAAGCAGCTTGTTTGTAGGTTCACATGATACTGTAAAGTGAGCCTATAGTGTTTCCACCTACATTTCAAATGGAAAATGATTCGCTACACATATTTCATGCTTTCTGTAGACTTTGGCTGGCGTGGCCATCATAAAATATATAACCAATATGTACTGGAAGTAGAATAAGTTGAAAAATAAACTACACCGATATACAATTGAAAACGTTTTTATTTTATTAAATTTTGCTGGATTTATATCAGTGTAGTTTATTTTTCAACATATTTCATGCTTTGGTATATCCATTGGTCGTGATTTATTTGAATGACCCTCATAGATATGTGACTTTTCAATAACACTTTATATATTCCATCATATATGACAGTCAATCAACTACAATATTAATAAATTATTTGTAATTACATTTTGATACAAATGTAATCTGATGAAGGCAAACTGCCATAAACACTCAAAAAGCATTCTTTTTTTTTTTTTTGATGAAAACAATGCTTACAATTATAATCAGGAAAGTATGGTAATATTAAAAATATATTTTAATATTTATAATATATTACATTATACAAATAATATATTTTATTTTAAAGTATATATGTATAGAAACAGTAAAATTACAAAATATTAGACAAGCGTTATGTACAAAATGTAATGATAATACTTAAAAATGATGTTGATTATGCACATATTTTACATTACTGACAATATTTAATATTTTATATATTTATGTATTTTTATTCTAAGATTTTAAGAATAAGAAGTTATTTTTGATTTTGCATTGTAATACACCTAAACCTTGATTTACATGTTACTTCATTAGGTCAATTTCAATTTAACATAATAAAAAAAAATGTGAAACGTGATAATGTTTCAATTTAATATTAATGTTTAATAAAATTAATGTTTAAGCTTGTGCTACTTTCATCTTACACATTTGAGATAGGATATCCTGTTTTATACTATTCTTCAACTTCATATGTATTAAATCCATGCCAAAAAATNTTCGACTTTTGTGGTTACCACTCGGTCCCACCTATCGTGTAAGTTTGGGGTATTACTGTATTATCAGGTAGTGATTCATTCATCAAATAGTAAAACTTTTTAGCTGTTTATGTATGAATCAATGTAAATTTTGACTTTTTATTTAGGATTCGAGCAAACTGCATTATATCGAATCAGCGTTAATCTAGGAAGCACTAAACAAGATCTTACTGTAATGATAACTTCTAATATTATTTGTATTAACAAAAAATGGGGTCCCATTGGACTTCAATAAATCCTAGGCCTTGAGAAACCTAGATCTGCCCCTGGCTAAGTATACTGCTGTTTTGAGTTTTACAAATTGATTTTTCAAGATGAGTCAATCTAGACCAGTATTCCGCAACCTTTTTCTACTCATGACACACCTATGACTCAACATGGCACACCAAAATGTTATTTCCCTTAAAAACGTACATATTATACTATTAATATCAATAGAATTACGTAATGCCACTAACCTATTATTATTATTAAACAGGCATCAATTTGTGCATTTATTAAAATTTTTGAACTTTAATTCACTGTAGAGTGTATAGTGTAGAAAAATACACTTTTCTACTACTATTAAAATAAATAATTCTACTCATACCTTTTCAATGTGATATTTGTGCCTGCTTAGCTGCACACAGACGGCTAAT